ATCCTGTCACTATGATCACCCACTTAGATGAATTCTCAGACTGCCCCAACATACCCAGGTTTTGATCCCCGCTAAGGATCTCACTGATTGGCATATCAAAGACAGCCCGATCCGACACCTAGTGAAGTATCATAATCGAGTCTAGGGGCCAGGTGCAACTTTCCAGTTTTGTCCATCTATCTCCAAGCTCCAGAGCAATACTGGAAATCTGGTCTGGTTCAAGGATTCGAGTAATCCCATACTGCATGTGCCCTGGGTCTTACCCTGGCGGCCGAGACAGGCCATCCCAACACTTGGTGGCACACCAGTACCAGCCTTGGCAGGATAAATCTCCCAGACTTTATCCAATGGCTGTGAACATTTAAAACTAACACGAGTCTCTATAAGTGTCCAGTTTTAGGGTCTTACACAGAATTATACCAAACAACATGAATCAAACATGCACTTTATTTATTTACACTAAATATCAAAAGTACATCAAATCAGATTGAAGCTAAGGGCATACAAAACTTTCTAACACTGCTGTGGTGTCTAGTGGTTCTTTTTTGTTGTTTCCGGGAGCTTTTCAAGCTCCTGTCAAGATTTTAGGGGCCTACGTGCTCCTTATTTGTCCAAACTAAAGAAGTCTCTCTTTTTTTTGTAGTTAAGGAATCTTAATTTTTTTGATATTTCGTAGATGCCTATTTTGCGCCATTCAATCACGCCGTACTGTTCCGAGTTTTTATGCTGCCTACCAAGCTTTTTTTGGTACTAGCGAGCTACCTGGATCCCTATTCACGAGTAGTAACATCGTAGATTGTCTATGTTCTGGGCTCGGGGAACTTTTTTCCCGTCGAGTGTCTCGAGCTCATATGCGTTTCCACTAAAAACTTTAGAAACCCTATAGGGTCCTTCCCAGTTCGGACCGAGCTTCCTTACTCCAAGCTCAGGTGCCATGATTTTCCTGAGCACTAGGTCATCGATCCTAAAATTTCATTTCCTGATTCCAGCATTATAGTATTGACACAACACGTTGTTGGTATGCTGCAGTCCGAGTGTAGGAGAGTTTTCTTGTTTCTTCTAATAGGTCGAGGTTAGCTCATAGCTCTTCTCCATTTGTTCCTTCGACGTACGCTTCAGATCGCGGGGTTGGAATTTCTAATTCTGTTAGTATTACAGCTTCAGTCCCATAAGATAGGTTAAAGGGTGTTTCACCGGTTGCCGTTTTGATAGTAGTCCTGTAGGCCCATAGCACACTGGGTAGCTCATCTACCCATAGTCATTTAGCTTGAGATAAACGAGCTTTGAGTCCTCGTAGTTTCGCTCTATTGGTAACTCCAGTTTGCCTATTAGCTTGGGGATGTGCTACTGATGTGAATCTTTGTTCTATTCCAATTTGTTCCATTGTCAGATATTAACACTCTTGGCAGGCCAAACCTGCACACTATGTTTCGCCAGAAAAGGTTTTGGACGCTGCGAGCTGTTATTGTCAGTAGGGGTTCTGCTTCCACCCACTTAGTGAAATAACCCACAGCTACCACCAAAAACTTCTTTTGTCCCTTGGCCGGTGGGAAGGGCCCCAATAGATCTATTCCCCATTGCACAAATGGCCATGGGCTGTTTAAGTATCTTAGGTCGGCAGCAAGTTGGTGTAGGATGTTCGCATGCCGTTGGCACTGATCACAGCGCTGGACCAGTTCAGCGGCGTTAGTTTTCATGGTGGGCCAGTAGTTTCCTTATCGTAGGGCTTTTTGGGCGAGGCCCCTGCCCCCTAGGTGTCCTCCACAGTGGCCCTCGTGGATTTCTCGTAGAACTTGATTTGCCTCATCTTGCCTTAGGCATCGTAAGTAGGGCATCATGAAAGATCTTCTGTAGAGCGGCTTGCTTACTATCACGTAGTGAGCTGCCTATCGCTCTACCCGACGAGCTGCATTTCTTTTTGCTTTTTGCTGGTAGCGCGCCACGTTTCAGGTAATTGTAGAGTCGGTCAATCCAACTTGGCCCGGCGAAAGTGATTTTGGTGGCATCCTCACTCGCTTTTTCTATCGAGGGTCGCGGTAGTTCTTCAACACAGATGGTTCGTTTTGTCGAGTCCAACATGCTCGCTAATTTGGAGAGGGCATCAACCTTTGTATTCTTTGATCCTGGGATTTGTTGGAGATACCATGACTTGAAAACTAGTAGGAGTTCTCTGACTTTGGCGAGGTATGCCGTCATGGAGGAGTCTCAAGCCTCATAATTCCCATTTACCTGGTTTATGAAAAATTGTGAGTCGCTGCATATCACCATGTGTTTGGCTCCAATTCTTTTCCTAATGGCAATCCTGCTAGTAGGGCTTCGTATTTAGCTTCATTATTTGATGCTCGGAATAGAAACTGGAGCATGTATTCCAGCTTTGTTCCGCAGGGTCCGTATCGTATTAACCCAGCTCCGCTTGCGCCTCGGTGAGATGAGTCATCCACGTGAAGTATCCTGGGCTCCTCATCCTAGATTGCTTTTTCACGAGGTAGGGGGTACTGTGCTGGATAAGGCTTCTGTTGTTAGCACCATCTACCTGGGCGATGGCGAGCTGAAGTTACACTCAGCGATAAAATCTGCCAGGACCTTCACTTTGATTGTTGTGTGCGGCTCAAATTGGATATCATATTCATTAAGCTCGATTGCCCATTTGGCGAGTCTTCCCGAGATCTCTGGTTTTAGGAGAATTTGCTTCAGTGGTTGGTCTGTTAGCACCACTATGAAGTGTGCCTAGAAGTAGGGTCTCAGCTTTCGGGCATCTAATACTAAAGCGAAGGCGAGCTTCTCAATGTTTGGATACCTCATTTCGGTGGCCTGGAGTACTTTGCTAACATAATATACGGGTAGTTGTGTTCTGTCTACCTCTCCGACAAGGATTGAGCTTACCACTTCATCACTTGTAGAGAAGTAGAGTTTGAGTTCATCTCCCGCCTCTGGCCTGGTCAGTAGAGGGGGCGAGCTAAGGTATTGCTTCAGTTCATCGAAGGTGAGCTGTCATTCTTTGGTCCATTCGAAGTCTTGGTTCTTTTTTATGGCCTTAAAGAAGGGAAGACACTTCCTAGCTGATTTGGGCATAAACCGGTTCAGGGCGACTATTCATCTTGTTAATCTTTAGGTTTCCTTAACCGTCTTGGGTGGTCTCTATCTAAGATCGCTTGGATTTTTTCCGGGTTGGCCTCTATGCCTCATTGGCTGACGATATAGCCTAGAAACTTCCTGAGGTCACACCGAAAGCACACTTGTTTGGGTTTAATTTTAGGTTATGTTTTCACAAAAACTTCAAATACAAGATTTTAGTCAGAAACCAATTCTTTTGAAAATAGAGTCTTTACAACCATATCATCCACATAGCATTCTACTTTATTACCAATTAACTTTGAAAAAACACAATTAACTAATCGTTGGTAGGTCACTCCATCATTCTTTAAACCGAAAGGCATGACCTTGTAACAATACAAGCCTGTCTCAGTAGTAAATGCAGTCTTCTCCCAATCTTCAGGGTCCATCAGGATTTGATTGTATCCTGAATAAGCATCCATGAAGCTGAGTAGTTCGAATCCTGAAGTTGTGTCCACCAAGCAGTCTATGCTGGGTAGGGGGAAGCTGTCTTTTGGGCAGGCGCGGTTTAGGTCCATAAAATCTATACACATCTGCCACTTGTTGTTTGCTTTTATCACTAAGACTGGGTTCGCTACCCAGCTCGGGTACTGGACCTCTTCTATGAAGTTTGCAGCTAACAACTTCCCAACTTCTTCATTTACTATGCCCCACCTTTCCGAGGCAAGTTTTCTCTTCCTTTGCCAGACTGGTCTAACTGTAGGGTCTACATTAAGTTTATGAGTTATTAGTTTAGGGTCAATTCCAGGCATTTTAGTTGTCGACCTGGCGAAAACATCTAGATTTTTTAATAGAAAACTTGCCAATTCGGATCATTGGGGAGCTTTTAGGTGAACTCCTATCCGTAGCACTTTCTCTGGGTCGGTTTTGGAGACTTGTATTGCTACCGTGTCTTCGATTGGGCGAGCTCTTTCCTCAATGTTTTCTGGTGGTGGGTCCAAGTCGATGTCGACTATCATCTTCCCTTTAGCTTTCAATGATGCCATGTAGCACTTTCGAGATTCTAGCTGATCAGCATGTAGCACTCCCACTCCAGTGTTTGTTGGAAATTTTAATGCTAAGTGGTATGTGGATACTACAACTCGCAATGCATGTAGAATTTGTCGTCCCAAGATCGCATTATAAGGCGATGATGCTACTACTACTAAGAAATCATGTTCTAGGCGAACTGTGTGGGGTGGAGAGCCATCTTCAATTGGTAACCTAATCTTACCAATCAAGCGAACTACTTCACCATTGAATCCTACCAAAGGTATATTAGCAAGCTGTAGGTCGGCCTTACTAAACTCCATTCTCTTAAAGGCCTTGGTGAATAAGATGTTAGTCGAGCTACCTGAATCTACCAAAATCCTTTTTACCTTGAAATCATTGATTAACAATTTTACCACCAGTGTATCATCATGTGGGTATTGGATTCCCCGCGTGTCATCATTTGTAAAATAAATGAGTTCTTCCGTTTTGAGACATTTGTGGGGCTCGCCATCCTCCTGTTCCAGCTCGCGTACCGCGTTTCTCCTAGAAGATGAGGTGCATCCTGCTATAATGGAGCCCCCCATGATTACGTTGATTGTTCCCCTAACCTGTTTCTCTCGAGCTTGTGGGGTTCTAGCTGGTAGTTCTTGCTGCCTACTGTTCTGCGATGCTTCCTTGTTGGCTTCTGTTCCTTGGGTCTGCTCATCTTTGATGAAGCGTTTTAGGTAGCCTTGCTTGATAAGGTCCTCGATTTCAATTTTCAGGTTCCAACAGTTCTTAGTATTGTGTCTGTATTCTTTGTGGAAATGACAATACTTGTTTGGATTCCTGGTGCTAGGGTCTCCCCTCATCTTGGGAGGCCATTTCAAGTAATCAGCGTGATTGGATATGCACGATAATTTCCTTTTTATGAACATTCAACGGTGTAAATATCCTGCTGTATGTTGGAGGCATTTCCGTTCGTTGTCCTGCTCTTCTGATTGGCAACTTGCTTTTTCGACGCGGTGAACTGCTGTGCCTTCTTCTTGGGGATATACTTTTATGAGGTGATTTATTCCTTCGCCTAGTTCGGCTAGTACTTGCTTCTTCATCTATTTTTTTTCCTTTTTCCTATAATCTCAGTCTCCCCACCTACGACTTCTTCCGCCCTAATGTATTCGTGAGTGATGGTGAGGAATTTTTCCATGGTAGCTGAAGGGTGGAGTTCTAGCTCCCATTTCAACCTTTTGTGCCACGCCTTTCTTGGCTGCTATCAGCTGTAAAGAGGGATCCAAATCAAGGATTTGCAACCTTTCTACATTGAAACGTCGAATGTATTCCCTAAGTGGCTCATTGGACTTCTGAACTATGTTGAACAGGCACATAGTTGATTTAGAATGTGGTGTGCTTGTGATGAATTGATTGATGAAGAGTCAGGCAAACTGGTCCCAAATTTTTATGGATCCTAGAGCCAATCCCGAATACCATAGCAAGCTTCTTCTTTCAAAGTTGTGGGGAATGCTATGCACATACTAGCATCATTAGCTCCGTGAAGGAGCATTAAAGCTTGAAAGCTGCTAACATGCTCAACCGGATTCGATTTTCCTCGATAAGACTCCAGAGTAGGTGCCTGGAAGTTTTTAGGGTGTAGAGCTCTAAGGATTTCTTGTGTGAGCGGGGTTTCCCTAGTTAAACCAGGTTGATCAGATAAGGATATTATTCTCCCCGTTGTCGTGCTACCTTCTCTCGGTTGTGCTTCACCCCTTATCCAGGCGAGCCGTGTCTTTCTTCCTGCACGGTGCTTTTTCTTTCTTCTGGTAACCTCGGTGGAGCTCATCGCATTGGATTCAACAGGGGCCTCCGCCTGGCTTTCTGCTAGTCCTTGTTCATCCGGTGCCATAATGCCTTCTTCATTTGGAACGTGGATCTGGCTGCGCACTCGAGATTGAGGCAAACCTTCTTGATTCTGGTGGTTGGATGGGGGGGGCTGTTGATTGTTGTAAGGCTGGCTACCCGTATGTGCTGGTAGTTCGAACATCGCCGGGCGCCGAGGTTGACTTCGCTGCTGATATTGCTAGTGGAGTTGTTGGGATTGTTGATGGAACTGTTGCTGGTGTGGCTGCTAGGATTGCTGCTATTGTTGTCCAGTGATAAATACGAACTGATTTTCCCATGATCGCATTTGTTCAGTCATGTTATTGATACATCGTACCAAGTCATTAAACTGTCGCATATCCACTGCTACAGGAGGTGTTGTTGGTTCCATGAATGGGGGAGGTTGGAGGGATTTCTTGAAAGTGCCATATAAAGAGTTTTTTTCTGAGTAAAATGAGAGAGGTAAAAGATGAATGAAAGGGAACACAGGCTTTTTTGCTGCATTTCCCACAGACGACGCTAATTGAAGAAGCCAAAAATGGTCCCACCAATAGATGAGGCATAGAATCTGTTCACTCTCTCAGATCTGATGAGGTGGCTCGGATCTGGTTCAACCTGTGGTGTGAGTCAAGCTACAATAATGAGCTAGAGGTCCCGAACTGAGAGCTAAAAAGGAAGAGTGGTTAGAGTGTCTGGGTATATTTTTACCTAGGAGGACACTCCGATGCTTAAGTTAGTGAATGATCCTTTGTGAGAGAGAATATGAGAGAGTGAAAGTTTATGTGCGCCTACCTTTTGGAGTGATCTTGAGGTCTTTTTATAGCTACCTGAGGTTCAGGTGTTGTCTGGTAATATCTTTGAGCCTTGTACGGAGTTATTTCCTAAATCCTGGGGTGTACTGGTCAGTTATTTGCTAGATCCATGCGGCGGTTATAGGTCACTTGCTGGTCTGGGGGCGGTCAACTCGGTGGACCGTTCTCTGTTATGCGGTTATAGTGCTTACGTGGGCGTTGTTTGCAGGGTTGTTTCGGGCGAGCTGGGGTCTAACGGATGATCAAGCTCGCCCCAGCTCAGTCGCGTATCTGATGCTGACTGCCACATGTTACTTCAGCGAGCTATTCTGTTGTGTCGGTCGCTGTGGGCCGAGCTTGCTCTAGCTTAGCTTCGTACCTAATATTGACTGCTGCATGTTGAGGCGGCAAGCTGTCTTGTTGAGTTGGACACTGCGCCATTGACAACATCCACATGTCCATCATCAAGTGGGTTGACCAAAATTCCCCTCATCAGTCGGCAAACTGCAACCACGTAGCCTTTGTTGGTTCTGTAGTAGGCCTGTTCATGGGCCAGGTAGCCCGACGGGCTGGGCTGGCCCGGCCCGACCCCCGGACGGGCTTGAACATGGTTATAGGCCCGCGGGCTTAAAGTCGGGCCAAAAAGCCCGGCCCGCAATAAATTCGAGCCGGGCTCGGGTTTTGTCAAAATAGCCCGGCCCGGCCCGACCTAATATTAAACTTAAAATTAGTTATGTGATTATGTCCATTTGAATAAATTTTTTGATTTAAGAATGTAAAATTGTGTTTTAAAATATAAAAGAAAGGAAAAAATACCATCTTGTAGGCACATTGTTCATTTAAATAGAAAAAAAATACTATCTGAGTTTTTAATTCTAATTTGAATAGGGAAAATTGTTTTTTTTTTTTCAATTAGGTCGGGCTTCGGGCTCAGGCTCGGGTTTCGGGCTTCTTACTAGGGCCGGGCTTGGGCCGGGGCCCAAGTTATAGGCCCATGGGCTCGGGCTTGGGCCTAGTATATTTTCATTAGTGACAAGTGAAAGCCCGACCCAACCCATGAACAAGTCTATTCTATAGTAATGCTCACGCTTATTGGAAACTTTGTTTTTAGTTACCCCAATGGAAGCATGTTTTATTTGCATCTACAATGGCACCACTGCACCGTCGGCATCCATGGAAGACGATGGGAATTTTGTCCCGAGAAACTCCACCTCACAAGTTATCTGCCAGAGGCGCGGAGCTTTAGCTTTCTAATGGAGAGGGGAGACACTTCGGATCTAGTGTCGTTTGGACTCGAAGGGATTTTCTCTTTTAGTCCATCAATATTTTGACACGTCAAGGGTTGTCGAGTTGTATTAAACCTACAACCGATCGAAAAAGTAAAACCTTCAACTAAATAAAAATATTTTTTCCAAATAAAAGTTGGTGTAAAAACAGAGATGCATTTGGTGATGGCGAGTTTTCTTCTTACCTTGCCCTCTTTTTTTTTTTCAAAACCTTTGAGCTTTATCTTTCACCAATGTGCGAGATCTGTCCGATGCTACCTTTAACTTGTCCTATCTTTAGGGCAACATTCTAGAATTTGCGTCTGTCTATAAAATGCATATCTTTTTGGACGAAACAAAGTGGAGCTCGGGGAAGAGGCGTTAGTTGGGAGTTTCTCCTTTCTTTTTCTTTTTCTTCGTGGAAGCTTTGCACTGTGTATCACTCTGATTTGATACAGAGAGGAGAGAGCTCTGTAATGCGTCATTTGCATGGTAGGCATTTAGTGTCTTAGTGGGTCTAGACTGTTCTCTTGTGCGAACGCAGCATCATTCGATGCGATGAGCGGCACTTTCCACATAAGAGTTCTTACTACCGTTTTTTTGCTTATTTTTTTTTTTTTAGTGTTTGTAGTGGGAGATCGAGAGGGGTTATGGAAGCTAGGGGTTTTATGGTTTAGGCATCAACAGGATGTAGGCTTTAGCGATGAGATTTAGGGTTTGTAGTGAAAAAAGTAGGGTTTTCCTGTTGAAGAATTTAGGCAAAGTGGGTAATGTTGCTGGAGCAGACGACGATGTTTATAGAGTGGGGGTTTCAGGAATCCAGGTTCTAATTTTAATCTATATATTTAGAATTTTCGGAAAAGTATGAACAGGTTCAATGCAGATTTCTGAATTTTATGCAGAACTATAAACATTCAAAATGTCAACAATCCCCACTGTATACACTAATACTGTCGTGAATTGGCATCAATAATTTGGGGCTAAAAATTCTAACTCTGCACTGAACCGTCATTCATCCTAGAATTTTGTCATTAATAACTTAGAATTTCTTGCCGTTAAAATCTATAGTTGCCGAAGGTTAATGATTGGGTCAGGGGAGCAACGTATGAGCCTCATAATAGAGGGTTTAGAATTTGTTTGTTAGCAATTGCTTTTTATTTTAAAAAATTTATATAACTTAGCAATTTTTTTATTTATTATTTATAAAGCTTCAACCGGTCGTAGGTAATGCCCAATTGAACATCGAGTGTCAAAATTTTACTGGACCCGGACTCCGGAGTGGAGGGGAGAGGATGGGTTGAGCGCTTATGTCTATGAATTCACATCTGTGCCCCACAATGTTCGATAAAGTCGCTGTGTATTAGGAACACCTCCGGATGATACTACTAGACCTGATGATATCATTATTGGAAGATGTTCCCAATACAAGGCAATAATGCACTGTGGGACATTGTGGGGCTGAACTCTATGTGAGTTTACATAGAGTTCATTTGAAATGCATTGACATGTCTGATTGCTATCGAGGGAGTTCAAATCTACGCCCCACCGACTCTCGCCCCACAAATGCCCCACACGCCCGTAGTACGCCATCTGTCCCTTCACATGCTATTCGCTTGCTAACGGGCGTCCCACCCACTTCCAATCGAGTTCGTGCAGCTGGTCCCCTAACCCCTCGTTCTTCTCCCTTCACCCGAGTTCTCTTCTCCTTCTCCAGCACCGGCGATCTACAACGACAACCGGCGGGTACTCTCCAACTCAACTTTGTCCTCCGAAAAACCGGCGGCAACAGTGCTTTGTTACAAATAACTCTCCTTCTCCGGCACCGGCGATCAAATAACTCTCCATTCTCTCTTCTCCCCGCTTTCCCTTCCTTGAGAGTGGACTTTATGTACTCTTCCATGAGTCTAAAGAAGCCAGCAGAGCTCCGATACATCTCAAACACCATTCCTACTTGCCCACCATGCTCCAAGGTATTCACCACGCTTTCCATAACTCCAGCAACCACACCCAAAAACACAACCCAAGATCCATGCAATGGCGATCCCATTCCCACCAAGGTAGACCCAACGACAGCCAGGCCAGTGAGTAAAGGACCAGTAATTGATAAGATCCTGCTAACTTTCAAAGCTAATTTGCTCAACCTCACATACTCTTGGATATCTTTCCTCTTCAGCAGCTCTACAATCTGCTTCATTTCCTCTTCCAGCTTCCCACTCCAGCCGTTCTTTTCGGCTCTCTGATTACTGCGGCGTTTCTGCTGTTGCGGCCACCACACAGCAGGCTCTACAGTTGTAGGGAACCTGTCGAGCATTATTCCAAGCAGGGGAAGGGGGTAGGTCTTGTCAAGCGCCAATACCTTCTCCATGGCGTCCTTGACATCCATAGCAGTAGGATTGCCAAGGGCAAGGGTTGTTCGGATCTACCCATTAAGCTGCTTGAACAGCCTAGCAGCGTTACGTTGTTCCTCGGCTAGTTGAGATGGCTGGATCTTGTTAATCACCAACAGCATCCCAGTGGCTGCCGAATACAAAAGAGTGGATGAGAGCTTGAGCGCAACAAGTGGTGCTCCCACTTCTCCACATGTTGCAAATTGCCGCCGGTTTCTCTGATTTCTGAAAAAACCAAAACATCAGAAAAAAATAAGAAATGCGTAAAAAAGTTCAAATACGAGAGCTGGAGAGTACCTCCGGATGATCGCCGGTTGTCGTTATAGAGCGCCGGTGCCGGAGAAGGAGAAGAGAACTCGGGTGAGGGGAGAAAAACGAGGGGTCAGGGGACCAGCTGCACGAACTCTAAAGGAAGTGGAAAGTGGTAGTTTTGGATCTAACGGGAGAGACTAACGGCCCGTTATCCCCGCACGCGGGACAAACAAACAGCGTGTGAAGGGACAGATGGCGCACTACGGGCGTGTGGGGCATTTGTGGGGCGAGAGCGGGTGGGGCGTAGATTTGAACTCACAGAAGTTCAAAAGTTAGAAGAATGAGGCGCAAACGCGGCAGATCCGGACCGGTCGATCAAAGCTGTATTTTTTAACAACGAATATGCTCGTTCTAGATACTCCAAAATGTACGGAGGACTAGCCATAGCGGAGCTTTTCGTGACGGCCAAAGTCTGTGAACACAGATGGAGATTATTTTAATATATTTTCCCTTCCATCAAACGGTGGAGATTATTTTACAGTGTTAGATGTACCTAACCGCTCGTCTTCTATAAAAGCCCGCAGCAACTACTCTCGTTCACGATCTCGTTACTAACCGGGTTTAGTCAAGTGAAAGCAAAGCGAGTGCTATCGAAGAACAATGGTGACGATTAAGGCTGTTAAAGCTAGGCAGATCTTCGATAGTCGTGGAAACCCTACTGTCGAAGTAAGTTCATTAACACTTCAACGTGTTAAACCCACTCGATGACTCGAACATCAGCATGCGTTGTTCTTTTTTTGTTTATTTTTTAAGTCCTGTTTAATAATCTATTCGTCTTGTTTCTAAGTTCTGATTCTGATGACAGTAAATGCTACATTTTTAAGGGTTTTCGATTTCTGTTAGTTGTTTATTGTCTTGTTGGTTGATATCTAGTTCTCCACAATGCATTTCGTGCTAGTAGTAGAAATTTCCTCCTCATTTGCCTCTCTAGACATGGTTTCTAAAGGTAGAGAAATTTTCAGGCGGACGTTACACTTTCTGATGGAACCCAAGCTAGGGCTGCTGTTCCGAGTGGTGCTTCGACAGGTAAAATGCGTTTTTCCCTACTTGCAGTTAAAGATACGGTCTCTAAGAACCATTGCTGTTGTTTATGTTAGGAGGCAAAGGTGTAGAGCTTCCTCATTTATTTTTTATTTTTTATCTGTTGTAATTCTTTGATTTTTTTAAAGGATGCTATGAAGCTCTGGAGTTAAGAGATGGAGGGTCAAACTACCTCGGGAAAGGTGTCCTTAAGGTTAGTGATTCTCCCAGACGATGAAGTTGTTTAACAAAAAACCTCGTATTAATCACGTTTTCTGCTCCCATTGAAGGTCTCACTGAGAGGTACAATTGAACTCTCGAGACCATGTTTCTCTGTCAAGGAACTTTGGATTTTTAATTGGCACGTTTAAAATGGATGCCGTAGTCCTACTATTTTTCTCTTTTATTTTCCACTAATTTATGCTGCATTTCCTCGAGTTTTAATAAACCACGAGGGCCATTCTTTCATTGAGATATATATGTGTGTGTGTGTGTGTTTGGATAATTGAATGATGGGAATTCTAAACAGATTGTGATATTTGCATACTTTTTATTGTTCAGGCTGTGGAAAATGTCAATACAATCATAGGACCTGCTTTGATTGGAAAGGTATTTTCGATGCATTTAACTGCAACTGCTGCTGATCTTTGTTGTAATTGTCTGACAAGTGATTAATGCATATTTATGTGCTTCTGTAGGATCCAACTGAGCAGACCAAGATTGATAACTTCATGGTACAAGAACTTGATGGAACAGTTAATGAGTGGGGTTGGTGCAAACAAAAGGTACCATGAATTTTGATCCTAACATGGTTATGGCCATAATAATGTATTTAATATGTTAACCATGCCCACACATTCATGTAGATGCTGTTTGAATTTCTTGTGTTATAATTTATTTATTTTCTTCTTGATGATGTCAGCTTGGCGCAAATGCCATCTTGGCAGTATCACTTGCTGTCTGCAAAGCAGGAGCCCTTGTAAAGAAGATCCCCCTTTACAAGGTATATTTGGTGCTGACATAGTGTCCACTTCCTTTTTTTAGTGTGAATTATTACATGGTGCATTATGCATATCATTGACATGTCCTTTTCCTATCTTGAACAACAGCACATTGCCAATCTTGCCGGGAACAAAACCTTAGTGTTACCTGTGCCAGCCTTCAACGTCATCAATGGAGGTTCACATGCAGGCAATAAATTGGCAATGCAGGTAAAAGACATGAGCGGACATTGTTCAATAAGCAAATTTTCGCTTTTTGTTCTTATGAGATTTTTTTTAATTAATGCTTGTTCCTTTTTTTTGTGTCTTTTCCCCTTAGGAGTTCATGATTCTCCCTGTTGGGGCATCCTCTTTCAAGGAAGCTATGAAAATGGGTACAGAAGTATACCATCACTTGAAGGTAAGTAACGCTGTCTTATTTATTTCAAGAAGTTCCATGCCATTTTTCATCATTGGGATTGACTTTTTATTCTATTATTTTTCTCTGTTAGGCTGTAATTAAGAAAAAATATGGTCAAGATGCTACTAACGTTGGTGATGAGGGTGGCTTTGCTCCCAACATTCAGGTTTGCAACTGATTTTAATATTTTGTTTTCAGTTATTTCAAATGATGCCATTTCAGGAGATTGGGTGAGTTTTGTGTTTTTTGTATGAACAAAACTAGCGGTTTTATCTGTCCGACAAGAGCTGTTTAGTTCCCACCAGAAAACAAATGGTACCTACTTATTACCCTAAAATAAGAAGGAAGAAGCTCCCTAAATGGGAAAAGGCTGCAAGTTTAGTGCCATTGATGTCCCATCTAAGTAGTATTGTAGCTAATTTTTATTATAAGGAAATTAGACTATTGGCTCAAGTTATTTCTCAGTTATTATTATAAGATTATTTTTGTAAGTATAATTATTATAATAATTTCATAATCAGTAATTCAGTTTTAGTAAAATACCTTCTAATATTTATGTGAAATATAGGAAAACAGAGAGGGCCTTGAACTGCTGAAGACTGCTATAGCAAAGGCTGGATATAGTGGCAAAGTATGATCCCTTATCTTGCAAGTGCTTGTTCCCATTATTATATTCATTCAGGAAGCTGAAAGTATGTCTTTTGATTTTCTTTTTCTTTTTTCTCCTTATGGACAGGTTGTGATTGGAATGGATGTTGCAGCTTCAGAATTCTATGGCAGCAAGGATAAGACTTATGATTTGAATTTCAAGGAAGAGGTAGGGAGTTGCATTTGTTGATCCTTTCGTTTCCAAATAAATTAAAGACCGAAACTTTCATGATATGAGTTCAATTGCATATCTTAACCATTTGGTTTGTAAGGTTTTGTTCTAGACACAGTGAAAAGTGATGACCCAACTGTTAGTGTATCCTCATCCCACTATCATGTTTTAGAAGTTATGTCCATGATTGGGTTGACCAGTTTAATATATTTGTAGTGGGGTCCAGTCAGTAGGAGTCACTGTGTAGTCATTATTTTGTTAAGTCCCAAGTTTTACAGTCATAGTTTCAATAGATTGGGTGTTATTGGTGTTGTTTATTAGCTTTGGGGATCCAGTGGCATTTTTGTAGTCATGGTGAACAATGATCTAGTCCACGTTTCTCAGTTCTCATCTATACATAGGTCTTTCTCTTATGTTTGGAGGAGATGGATGAATGAAAGCTTGATAATTGATTTCTCTTGCATTAGAAGAGAAGAGAAACTTAGTTGATCTTTGATCAAAAGGAGCTTCAGGTTGAAAGGGTGATAAGCTTAGTTGTAGATGACCTTAGAGGGTGGCTGAGTACAAATTTGCTCTTTAAGGGGGATTTTCTGGCCTCTTGTGGCAGTAAACTTTTTAGAGGATTCTTAAAGTTTTGTTCATTTGTACAGAAGCTTGTACAGTGAGCAGTTATACTTCTCCTTTTGATTAATACAACTTTACTTTACCTTTCGAAAAAAGAAAAATTGATTTCTCTTGCATGAATGCATTCTGGAATAATAATGATTCCATCGACTTCTAGGTTGATTCCTTGTGTTTTCCTCATTCATCCTTCTCTGTGGGTTTTTTTTTTTTTTTTTTTCGAGCTAGTAACAACTAGCATAGCTATCTGAGTCCCAAATCAAAGCTCAAGTTTGGCCCAGCTCAGAGGTTACTGACACTGCAGCTGGGCTTAGGCTGGGTTAGACATAGCCCAGCAACTCAAGGCTGGGCCCTGCAAGGCAGTGTCATCCATTGCCACTCCAATATTCTACTTGGTGAACTGCACTGCAAAACCCAGAGAGCATGTACTGATAGCAAATGGTTCATTTGGTGCAGAACAATGATGGATCACAGAAAATATCAGGCGACAGCTTGAAGAATGTTTACAAGTCTTTTGTGTCTGATTACCCAATTGTGTCTATAGAAGACCCATTTGATCAGGATGATTGGGAGCACTATGCCAAATTGACAAGTGAAATTGGCCAGCATGTCCAGATTGTTGGGGATGACCTTCTTGTCACCAATCCTAAGGTAAATATCTTTATGCAATTAAAAGTCTAGTTAACATAATTCTAATTCTAAGTTTCTAGCATCTGATTTCTTTGTGACTGATGCAGCGTGTGGAGAAGGCAATCAAGGAGAAAGCATGCAATGCCCTTCTATTGAAGGTTTTATTAAAATATATTTTGGAAAGCATTTTTTAGGTTTCTATGCATTATCACTTACCAGAGGTTATATATACCTTAATCAGATATTTATTGGTGGTGGTCCAGGTGAATCAAATTGGTTCCGTCACTGAGAGCATTGAAGCTGTGAAAATGTCTAAACGTGCTGGCTGGGGTGTCATGGCTAGCCATCGAAGGTTCGACATGTTGTCTATAGTTAACATTTAAACTGTCTGCAAAAGGCAAGCTCAATATTGATTTAATTCTAATTGAATGCAGTGGTGAAACTGAGGATACTTTCATTGCAGACCTTTCAGTTGGTTTGGCTACGGTAGGGAACTCAATCATCTTTTTAGTTTTCTATTATTTCAAAGAAATTTGATTTGTATGTGCTGTGCTTAGTTAAATGGGAAGCATGATTTCATACCGAGTTTGGTAATGTTTTTAGGCTATCATGAAAAACAATCTGACCCATGTATTTCTGTAATGAAACAGGGTCAGATCAAGACAGGAGCTCCTTGCAGATCAGAGCGTCTTGCTAAATACAACCAGGTAATCCAGCTACTTTTGGAATGTGGGTTTTAATTGTCAGAAATATTTATGCCTGGATATTCTTGCTCGGCTATATCACTTTCATAGTCCATAAATAAATACCAGACTAGCTTAGTGTAGGTAATCCTTTCTATGATTATATGCACCATTAGGGGCTGAGAAGTATTCATTTAGCAACCTTAACCAGTTTTTCATTACCATTGGACGCTGAGAAGTAGTATTTCACTACTTTATTGTAGGTAATCCTTTTCTACGATTATATCCACTCAGTGTGATAAGATTCTAGGTCGTTCAGATAACTAAGCACATTACTGTGCAAATGCCCCTCTGATCTGACTAGCCTTTCCTTAGTTCCTCTATTCCTTTTTTCCCTTAAATGAAAATCAAGGGCTGCCTGATCAACCGTAAAAGGGTATTTCAGTGATCAACAATGTACTGATTTTAGTATTTACTTAATGCAGCTTCTTAGGATTGAAGAAGAACTTGGGTCAGCAGCAATCTATGCTGGAGCAAAGTTCCGGGCACCAGTGGAACCTTACTAGTGTCCAACCGCATGCACAATCTGGCCAGAGTTATTTGGTTTACAACTTTTTGATGTCAAGAGGTGGATTCTTTCAGTCGTGGAAGTTGCCTTCATGGCTAGTTGGCTTAGCCTATGAAGAGGAGAAAATAAATAGCAATTTCTAGAGGGGGATCCCTCATTATCTGTTTTGAAGGATTAGTTCTCATCTTCAGTCTTTGACTCTTTGGTAGCAATGTGATAAACTATGTGATTTCTGAACCATTTTGCACCATAATTAATAGGTGGTTTTTTTGGGCTTCATGGCAGGGGTTTTCACTGCCCTGTTTGGTGCAGTTTGGAGGTCCCAGACCAAACGAGTAAATTATGATCTGAGATTCCCAGATCAGATCAAACAATTTTAGTATGGAAACCAAACCGTTTTATTACTGTTTGGCACAGTTCGGGCCATCATTCTATTAGAACAATGCATTCAAGGACCAAGGTTGGACAGAGGTAGTCTAATAAAAACCGCATAAATTACATTACATTACCCATTATTGTAATTTATGCGAAAAATCATCATCAAAAACAATGGCAAACTTGGGAGAATGATGGTTCAGCCCCGGGTTAGAATTTATAGGCCCAAAGTACAGTTGGGGTAGGTGTCAGCTTGGAATTGATGCATAATTGACTTTTTGAAATGTTGCAGATCCGCAGTGAAAATCAGAATTCTGCAATGGCCTGTCTGGACTTCTCCGGGCAAAACTTTGGTTTGACTTGCAGACCATTCTTCAATCACTCTGTTTATTTTTTTATTCATTATTTTCTTTTC